CTGTTATGGATGAAAGAAAAACCGATTCGAACTACGCAGAGGTTTCTAAGCTTGAGTATTTTAAGACTGCTTATACTCACAGGAGTATTCATGCATTGCCTTGATCGAATGCATATTCGATTTTCGAAGCCGGAACCACAGGAGTACGAGTCAAAAATTTGAGTTACTGGAGTAGTCAGCAGTTCTGATGTCTTTCCATTTCCTGAAACAGGATCGATATAGACATTACCATGTATTTTCGCGATATGATATTTTTACGACGAAAAACCATGTAGTACAGTAGCATGCCGTTCCCCAGAGTGTCATCCGACGTAGGCAGGCATGCCCGAGGTCGTTCCTCGCTTCTGACCACGAATCGACCAATCGCAATATCATAATCGCTGCTTCCGTTATATTTAGAATGTATTCCAAAGTAGTCTGCTATAACAGCCTTCTTCATTGGTTTTTGCACGAAATTGACATATATTGCGGAATTATGTTTTTGACTAAAAAAACAAGCAAAATCATCTTATGGCAACGTTGTCATAAAAAAAGCATAGATAAAAGTGAGGAAAAGGTCATGAAAGGTCATTTTCTATTATTGATCAGCAGAAACTGGAACTGGAACTAAAGTAGGCAAAAGATGAGAATGCCGAAATGACACAATACCTGCCAAAATCTGATGTAATTTATCTCAAGCGGCTGCTTCGTATGTAGCAGCACGAAAGTCATGGATTGCCTCGATGGTTATTAACGTATCGTTAATTAGAGAGAAGATTTTGTACTCATGTAGCTCGTTGGTTCTATGGGAAACAAGGGGAACTCGTTTCTGTATGCCTAAGGACTTTAAATGAACGACGCGATGACGACCGATGCGTTAAGGCAACGGGAAATCACAGAATTGCCTGGTGAGTCATATCGCATAGTGAAAATTAAAGTCGCGTGCTTTGATTTTTTCTCCTGCTGAATCAAAATAAATCTTAAAATGAAAATGGCGCTCAAGGTTATTGCTGAGATCATTCCAGTCCAGCGAAAATGGCATTTTTCATAGAGATTAGTATTTAATGAAATTAGAAAATTGGAAATAATATCTGATGGCATGGAGCTGCATTATGAAAAAGGTACACAGATATATGGTGCAATTCTATTTTGTGATTCAAAAAGGCAAAAATCATAACGTTAAACAAGGGAGCAAAAATGATACCTTTTGTAAATGAAGCTTTTACTGGGTTTAAAACTGGTCCAAGAGCCTGTTTTCAGTTGTTTGTCGCGTCGAAGTTGAGAGCAGTGCACTGTGTCTACCGTACGTTTCTAGTTCGGTCGTTGGGTTGTTCGTTACGATAGTCTCTTCGTTCATTTATCACGCTTTTTACCATTTCTCCCTTGTCACTTGCATTGACGTCGCGTATCCCTCCCCTCCACGTCGTACTAACTTTTCAGAGCTAAGAGGTCTGTCTTCCATCATCCTAACTTGTACTAATAGTGTCTGTTCAAGTGTCGATTTGATCGCATTTCCCTTCACGAAATCCTAAGCAGCGAACAGCATGGCAGTCTTTTAGATTAGGAGGTCGATTAGTGACATGTTCAAGCCAATGCAGCAAGCGATTTTGAATGACACTTGAGAATCTTGTAGCACTGCAGCGGCTGAGGCCAAATAATTTCGACCGCATCGAGGGTGCGCACCGCCAGTGGAGTAGGGAGGGTGATTGTTAGACTGCGCACGGCCAGATGATATCTTCTTCGCAAAAAGTCCAGCATTCAGAAGTATACAGAAAAACCAATTTCATTGAGACTTGCATGACATGTATTTTTATTCTGAGGCTGATATGCCAACGGCCACAGAGGCTTTTGAGGCTGAAGAAAATACCGGGCGTAGTACTGTAGTTAGTCGTGCTATTTCATCACGGTCCTTGAGGGACTGTGATTGAGTCACGATATTTCAACGTGGCAACAACTTGGATGACGAGAGAGTTAAAAGTTTTATGTAGTTTTCTATCTCTGATATTTTCGAAGAGAAGGTTTGCTTTTGAGGTATCAATAAGTAATCCATCAGAATGTACGCTACTTCAAATGTTATTCTTTAGACTGTTTTCGTTTCTGTCAGTTGCTTACAGCGCTTCAACATCGCAGCCGTTACAGAGCCAAACTGACGTTTATACATCTTCGATGCATCGGTCATTCTCTGTTTTACGTAAGCCCTTAAAATGTTATTTTCAAGACCAATTTCCACCATCATTTCACCCTATTTCAAATACAATGACTACTAATAGCCAAAATGATTTACGTTTTCGCGGACTGTTGGAGAATTCTGTCAATTTAAACGAAATGACCTTTGTCAGCCAAAAAAAATTTTAAGTACCTATCTCTAGAGAGACAGAGAGTAGGCTGCGCCCTCTTCATTCATTTATTCTACATATCAAGCGAGTGATAAGTGAGAATATTTCATTGGTATAGATGAATATTTAAAGATCTTATGTATGTCGAGGCGAATATCACCTCTTTTATTTGAAGTAAAGACGGAATGAAAAAAGTCAAAACACGTACTTCCAATGAACGCTTTCTGCTGTAGTCAGAAAGTAGTTGTAGTTTGAATCACTGTAATCGAACAGGATTCCGGGGAATGCCAGATTTCCGAGTCGTACTGTCAAAAGCAACGGCCGGAGAAACTGAAATAACTCTGAAAATGGAGGGATTGGGCTATCCATGGCGAGGTTACTTTTCGGAGCATAGCATCGATCAACAGGAAGCTACAATATAGTCAAAGTAACACAGACAACAATGACACAAACCAATCCACCTTCTTGTCTTCAGCGTAGAACGAACCATTTATCAGAGCCTTGTATCGTCCTCTTGGCAAAGCAGTGGCGATTGGAAGGTGTGTTCGAAACCAGTCGTTAAACTTATTCAATCCGATGAAGATACGTTGTGTGGAAACTGTTTCGCTAGGACAGGTATCAGCTAATCTGATGCCGACTATCGTGAGATTCGCCGGACTCTCTCTTGTGGTCGAATCTGGACATAACAAAGGGAGGTCTGCAGTGGCCACCTGAAATAACTGTTGCTGTTCTAAACCCTAGCATATTGATTTAACGATGCTTATTTTATTTCGTTTGGAAGGATTAATAGAAACCTAGAGACACACGTACAGTACTCAAAATGTAACATTATGTACTTGACATAATCCAGGACATTGTCCTTTCAATGCAACGAATGCGGATTTGGCAAAGGCCAACTAATACCAGGAATAACCGGATTAAACTTTAACCGGTCTAAGTGGTCAAAAATTTCCCCGTCATTTCATCTCCTGGATTCTGTTTTATTTTTGCTGCACATATAAAAATTCATTTAAATTATTAATTCAGGATCTTGCTCAATCCGATCAGACAAACATTGTAAGAATTACTCCTCCATTTAAAGTACGTGTCTGAGGAAGTTAAATGCATACTATCATTTACGTATCACTCACAAACTCCTCAACATATTGTACAGTCCTTTCGTTCCTACTGTCGTAGTGAACCAAAGCAACAGGGCATGAGAGTATTTGTGCGCCAAAAGTTGTAGATGAACCTCACATCATTCTATTTACTGCAGCAATATCTTTCTGATGGCGACCGATGTTCCACAGGCCGGAAACCTTAAATGTACTTGCATTAATTTGAAATCACTCCCTCCTAGACCACATTATCATATTTATTCAGTGTGTGCCGTTGATGAGAAGCTTCGATAAATTCTCAAGATTGTAGATGCCGCTATGCAAAAAAGAACGGCACTAAGATGATACGTTATCGGTAGCAATCAGCCCTGAAGCTGCGGCGTCATTGTTCTTAACTATGAAACAGGGCTGACCCATTCTGAGTTCCTTGATTAACTGAAAGACGACAAAGCTAACGAAAATGACTGAAAGCAAATTTCTGACGCTGAAATTCGACGCTGAGGACAAGGCAAAAAGGGCACCACAGTTTCTGCAAGCTGACGAAGGACAGATGAAAAAATGGTGTGCTGATTTCTCCTATGAGCAGGGGGCAACAAGTAGTTCAAGGCTGACAAAAAAAAACCTAGCGAAACGTGCAGCAATGCATGGCTTCTGTTCCGAAACATTCAGAACCGTACCATGGCTAGGAGACGGCCGCATTAAATGACCGAGGAAGAACGCTGAAGACGTCGTTACAACGGCACGGCACGGCATGGTTTGAAATGAAAATCGATTCATTTGTATGTATTTAATGCAATGTATCTTCATCTTCCATCGCCGCTTCTCCTTTCCGGTCGCGCAGGCAGACGCGCCAGACAGTGCTTCCAACGTTCCTGATCCTGTGCCAGAGTCTGAGCTTCGGCAAAAGAC